CTGTTCCAGCAGAAGAGGCAGAGTCTGTCTTCATGTAGCTGCCCCAGGGGCTGGTATCCAGGCTTGGGATATGCTTAATCTAATTTTACTTGCCATATTTAATTCTCAAAACATCGACCATCTGTTTCCTGGATTCCTGACTACACTGCTGCCTGGTCTGTCTGCCCAGAGAGGATGAGAAAGTCCAGAGTGAGTCTTTCTTCCACTCACCTCTTCTAAACCCTCCAAGGCTGCACGCCAGACCTGCACAGTAAGGAGAATTAACCCCATGGACTCTAGTCTTCAACGACACAGAAGCAGTTCAACATACTTCGGAGCCACGAAAGGTGAAAACCGGCCAGATTCACGAACTTGTTAGTCACCACCCTCAGCCACCAGTATCACCACTTATTGCTCTGGTGTAAAGCCAGCTGTCCACTTCTGTCATCTCATCGCCTCCCATCCTCTTGAAGTCCTCTGGAAACAGTGCTTGTTGAAGAGTTTTCGATGCATTAGGACTTTGCAGTATAGGTAACATCTTACTCGACATGTTTATTTCTTGGAACATCACCTATACTCAGATGCAAATTCAAACTCCAAAGTCATCTCAGTCTTTGATCCTTAAAGCCACCCGTCTCTTTAAGCACAGATAAACAAGTATACGTGAAGGATAAGCAGGTACAGGTATTCAATCTACTGTTTTCCAGGGTTTTTGTTTGTTTGTTTGTTTTTTAAGTGTAGAGGCTCACCTCAGTTCATGCTTTTGCTAGCTTGTTTTAAGTATTAACAACCCATGCTTCCTTTCTGGGAAACTACAAATAGATTCTGCCATCCGGGATGAGGTTTCCTTCCTCTTCCTACAAATCATTAAGAGAAACACTAGAGCATGCTAGCTCGTGGTATTTTGGGTTTTTTATTTTTATTTTTTGGAAGGCTAGACAAAACTGGAAAAAGCAAAACAGGAAAAAACTAAAACAGGGGTCCTCGATGACCCCTCTCAACCCCATATTTCTATGCTCAGCCCTGGGATGTGGGAAGAGTAACTAAGAAACCATGGAAATTGGGATTTGGAGAATTAGGTACAGGGTACAAGCTCTAGGAGAGCAGGATCTTTGGTCCATTATGTTCGCTGCTGGATCCGCAATCTCTAGAACGATGCTCCATCAACATTTGCTGAATGAATGAAAGGAAGCTAGAGGGCAAAGAAAAGGTACTTGGGAGGGTCCTGTAAAGGCTCTTTCAGAGCTGAGTTTTGGGAGCTGCAGGCTGAAATTCATTGGTGAGTCATGAAATCAATTTATTTGATGAGCACTGTTTTGAAAGAATGGAACGGAAGAGAATAGGAAATATCTTAGTAAGGAGAAATCTAGTTTTGTGAAATTTTGGTTCCAGATACACACCCAGCATTGCAGTGTAAAATATATTTCTTATTGGTTATTAAAAAACAAAAAAGAAAGAAAGAAAGGGAGAGAAAGAAGGAAAAACGTTTGCCTGGGGATATTGAAAAGCAGATTCCCAGGCTCAAGGCAGGACTTCTGGGATCAGAATCTCTGGAATTTTGCACTTTGAACATGTTCCCTTGGGGATACCAGCAGGCTCTAAACTTTGGAGTCTCCCGTCTGAAAACCACTGTGGGGCTTGGAATCTGAAGCGGTTTAACAGCCACGGGAGAGCTGATCAACAAATCAGTTCAAGAGCGTTTCCATGGCTGTGCCCTGTTTGGGAGGTCGGGGGTGGAGAGATGGGGGGTGCAGAAGACAGGGGACCAGGATGGGCATTTAACAACCATGAATAAGATGCAGTTGTTCTCTTTCTGTCCATTAGTGACCTCATCACTGGGCCATTTCCTCCTCCCGACTCCTTCTACACACTCACCCCAATCAGACCTGTCCTGGTATGGGTTGGCCACAATGTTTTCGTCTTCGAAACTAAACAGATAAAGAGGATTTAGTCACCAGATGTGAGCCCGGCTTGGGGCCGGCAGAAGAGAGAGACTGCCGAGTGAAGAACCAAGAACAACTCACACAGCCCAGGGCCACTGTCATCAGATAGCAACGGAAAGCAGGTGTGGCCTGTTCCAGCCGAATCCTGCAGCGCTCTTAGCCACCTGTCCCGACAACTGCAGACAAAATTCGCTTGCACGATGATCCAGCACCACTGGAGGCCCAGGGGGAACCCTCTACACCAGCTGTCCCTCGCCCTGCATCCCTGGCTCTAACCCTCCCCCTCCACACCAATTAACCAATCTCCCCTGTGCATAATTCCACGCACAGACACAGCATAGAACTGGTTTCCCTCCCTGCCTCTCTCTTAGGTCACAACAAACATAAAACTCACGATTTTTTTTCTCTTACTTCAGATAAATATATATTTTTGAAGTCAATTTTAAGAGTCTAGACTCAGTGATTGGACCATTTCCAGATCCTTCTCTCTTTTCTCAGAGCCTCCGCTTTGCTGAGTAGAAGGAGGAAGCGTGTCTACGTCCAGTTGGCATCATCATGGAAGCTTTGGGTCGTTCTGGCACAAGGGGCTCCCTCCCTCTGGCCTCATGGAGCATTTGCTGCCTGAACCACTCAGCAGCCGCTAGTGCGTGAGCTGCCATCTTTTGCTGTGAGCTTCTCTTACTATGTATTCTCTTTTCTCCTCAACTTGACTTGCAATTTCCTAGAAGACGGCAGCCATCCCTTGATCTTCTGTCTTGTTTCCATAATGCCTTGCTTTAAAAATGTCATTTGTATTTCCACCCGTGTGTATGAATGTGGAAGGACACACAGCGATCACTCCACGTCAGAAGCTATCAGCACTAAAGTCATCAAAAGCGGCTCATCTTAGCAGGAAGTATCTTTCACCACATTTGGTTAGTCAAGCACCAAATTGCTCGTGCTGCATTCCAGACACTAAAAATAGCAGTGACATTCAATTTTGAAGCAAAAAGATCTACGTGAACAGGATTAAGGACGAAAGACAAGTGAAATAGCCTCTCAACTGGGTGTCATTTTGTCCCCACCAAATTAACTGGATTTACTTGTTGAGTGTTATGTGCAGGCGGCATGCTAAGGGCTCTATGTATACTCTTTCATTTAATCTTCACAGTAACCCATGAAGCGGGTATTACTATTCCATTTCACAAAGAAACTAAGGAACAGATAGCTCAAACAACTTCCCAAGGTTGGTAAACAGCACAATTGGGATTCGAAGCCAGATGTGCCTGACTTCACCATGATCCTTCACTGCCTTTCTAATTAATCCTACACCAAATATAGAAAGGGTCAAAAGCCAAAAAATCAGATTTTTTTTTTTTTTTAAAGCAAGCGAGCAACCAACCAACCCATCAACCGTCCTCAAAGAAAGCCAGATGGGGGAATTCAGGAATATACTTATTTACCTGGGCTCTGCTAGACTTCATCTTTATTTCTTGACTCTGCCTCTTCTTTTCCATCATGACCCACCCAATTTCAGTTTAGACTATGATCACCTCTTCCGCAGACAATTCCAAAGTCTCCTAAGTCTGTCCACTCTAATGTCAGGATCTATCCAGAAGCTGACCGCTGCTTATACTACTCCCACACCTCTCGACAAGTCTCTAAGCTTTTACCCTCAACTCCCCAAAGTTTAGTCTCAACACATCAGTGTGTCCTTTTAAAAGGTCACATCACAACTCTGCTCAATAGCGCCTCAAGCCCGTCTCCCACTACTCTCCCCTTTGCTCATCCACTCTGGGAATATAGCTTCCTTATTGTTCCTTGAACAAACATAACATTCCTCTGCCCCAGGGTCTTTGCACTAGCTGCTCCCTCTGCTTGGGGCTCTCTTCTCCAAGATACTTGCGTGGCACATTCCTTCATCTCCTTTAAGCCTTTGTTTGAAGTTCACTGTCCAAGCGAGGCTTTCCCTTAATACCCTGCAAACCAGCTTCCCGCCCCAGGACCTCCAATCCCTCTTGGCTTGTTCTATTTTTGTTTTTAGCCATAGCACTTACTCTCATATACTACACACCAGATTTATGTTTACTGCATCCTCTCTCTAGAACAGAAGCTCCATGAGGGTAGAAATGCTTTGTGTTGCTCACTGCTGTATCCCCAGCACCTAGAACAATGCCTAGCACACAGAATGTGCTCAGCAAATATTTGCTGAATTAATGCTTTACATGGCTTGCCAGCAAGAAAAACTGATAACCCCGGGTCAATGCACTATGTTTACCCTATGGCTTTGGGTACTCCCGGGGCTCTGATGCACTCTGGGAGGCATTTATCACCTGCTTGAGAAGCCTGGGAACTGGGAGCTATTAAGAGCGGAATGATGTGGTGAGTTCTACATTTTAATCAGTTCACTCTAGCTCTGGGGGATGGATCTGGGGAGGATAAGGCTGGAACTATGAGTCCATTCCAGTAATCAGGCAAGAGATGATGACAGCCTGAGAAATATTTAGGAGACAAGAGGGAAAGATTCAATGATTGGTTGGATGTTGGGGGATGGTGGGAATCTGACTAACCTTCAGGTTTTGGGGTTGGGGAACTGAACAGATAACACTGTTAGTAATGAAGACAGAGCATCCAGAAGAATCCCACTTGGGAATGGACCTGGGAAGATAAGTCTTCTCCCCTTAGTTCAACATTCACTTTAGCAGCCCCTTGACAAATAACTAAAGTGATTACGGCAAAAAGCTCAACCAGGGCTACAGAGCAGCAGAATATAAACAAAAAGAATCCTAGAGGATCATCGCTTTGTTCCCAGTTGTCAGGGGCAATGAGCTGGCCTTTGACCAGGCAGAGTCCCTCCTAAAGAAAAAGTATGGAGTGTCTTTTCATGGGTTAAAAGTCGGTCGTGCCCCTTAAGAGATACACATACCGACATTTCTGTAAACTTCAGAGACAATGAGTTGTCCCATTTCTTTGGAAAATAACTTCAGAATTCAGCTATTTTAAAAGGGCCCCATCCTAAAGGCCCCTGAACAAAGGTTTACCAACAAAATAGTTTAATCCACCACTGACTGGACTGATAGTTTTACCCTCATACCTTACCTGGAAAGTTCTCTCGATTTAGCTTAGGTCTGCGGACAATCACAAAGTCCTTGTCATTCCCTTTGCTCTTTAGCCGTTTTCGTGGGGGGCTCTGCGGGTGGCCCAGGTTTGAAAGCAGTTCCTGGGGGATGTTCTCACTGTCCACCTCCTCCTTCTCCAGGGCGGAGACCCCCATGCCTGAAAGCAGTTCAGAAGTCTTGCTAGAATCCCATCCCCACGTGAAGCTGGTGGTAACGTTGCTACTCTGGTCGGGAATCTCCTGGAGGTGTTTCCTGCAGAAACGCACAATAGCCCCACGTTCCTTTCAAAAACACACCCGTAAATAATTCCAAGGTAGGCCTAAAGGAAGCTGCAAGTTATGCATTGCAGAAAACTTTCACAGCAGCTAACTAAATTACATTCCTACGCGCCGGCGGCGACTTACCAAGAATAAAAGAGAAAATAACCAAACAAATCGAACACGTCGAAAAGTGTTTTCGATTTACGATCATGCAGAAGGCCTCAAGAATTTCTTAAAGTGGAAGGAACAGACAAGGAAAGAGGGAGGGCAATCATACAGTGATTGAAAACAGCAGCCGGAAAGCCCAATAAGGGAAGCCAAATAAAATCGCACGCTGATCACCGCGCTAAAGCATCCCCCCATCCACGTTTTCCCAAAGAAGAGGCCAAGCAACCATTCACATTACAGCATTACTAACAATATTAGCAATTAGCAAAATTCGCGGCCTAAAAGAATTAAGACGGTCCATTCATGTCTGCCCCCTTTTGCAATCGGTTTACCTGTGCATGGCGTCCGCAGGTTCGGGAGTTTTAAATGCGTGCATTAATTGCAGAGGTGCCCGCCTCCTGGATTCCCGCTTTGGCGCGCGGCGGCGCACTGCGTGCTGCTCCTGCCCCCAGCAGCTAGACCCGCGAACTCTATCAACGTTCCATCCCCGCCGCGCGCGCAGAATTCTTCTGCCCGCTCTCCTCCGCGGCCGCCGTCTGCGGCCCCGCTGCCTGCTGGAAATTGTAGTTTCTGCCCTGCCTGGTAGTGCGGCTGCCTCGCTACTACTTCGTTTCCTTATAGCTTTGCCCGCCTTCAGGATACCCACAACCCCCCGCGGCTACGGGACCGGACGGCCCACAGGGTAGGCGGGGAAGCGGAAGCGGGCGGTGCTCCGGCCGACTGGGAAATGTCAGCTGCTTGATTGGGTAGGGTTTTCCTTTCCCCGGAACCTGCAGGCCTTCAGGTGACCGCCCCCGCCGTCGCCGGGGAGCGTGGGTCCCAGACCCTGGACGGCTGTGGCGGGCGCGCGTTTCCCGGTCCTTCTGGACGCTGTCCGGCGAGATCGGGCGGTGAGCCTGAGGGGGAGAGCGTGAGGCACTTTGGGGTCTGGGGCGGAGCGCGGGCGGAGAGAGAGGGACCCCGGAGACCCAGAGAGGCCGCCGCCGCGGGGCCCACGTCCCCGGCCGCGGAGTGGAGGCGGTGACGCGCTCCGCCGGCCAGGTGAGAGGTTGCGGCCGCGGGCGTCACACCTGCTCTCCCCGCTACCCGGAGCTGCGTTCTCCACCGGGGAGAGGACGGCCCCTAGCACTAGGTCTGTGGACAGGATCCTTTCTTCATCTGTAAAATAGGCACTGTGGCAAGCGACCCTCATTTCACAGGCTTGGAGTCGGGGTCAAATCGGATAACGCGTGTGAAAGCGCTTTGTAGACGAAAGCGCGGTTCAGAAGAGAGGCGGCGGTTTAATTTTAGGGCAGCAGGAGATCACGGTGGTTCCTGTGTGCAGTGGCAACGCTGAGCATCCCCTTGCAGCCTCGAGAAGGCTCATACATGCTAACATGAGAACAAATAAGGTGAGTGATTGTTTGCAAAGGGCTTTCAGTGCAACACTAGGCGCCGCCAGCAAAGCCATTCGGCTGCTCACTCTCAACCGGCTTCTTTCTGTTTGCCTCGCCTCCTGAAAGCACGCTGCTTTTAGCCTCTATCCGCAGAGAAGAGTTTGGAGCTGGTTAGAGTAGAGAGAGTGCCGTACTCCGGGTAGGATGACCGTGCGAAATGCATTATGCAAACTGTAACTGTGACCCTGGGAAAGCAGTGGAAGAGAGATAGGGAAATAGCTTCCAACCCTAATAAAAATGGAGAGGATGTATAAGGTTCAGAAGTAAGCAACCCAGCGTCATAAATATATTAGAGTATTACTTAAGTATGCTGTGTAGCATGCCTTTTTATTTTCGATTAAGCTTCGATTTACACTGGAATTAAACCTCCCTTGCTTGGGTACGTGCTTGTTTCAGGCTTGAGGCTTAGCTTGAAAAATAACCGCTACTTTAAAAAATTAATTGAGGGGCTTTTTAAAAAATTTCTTTAAAAAAAAAAAGCTTCGATTTACACTGGAATTAAACCTCCCTTGTTTGGGTACGTGCTTGTTTCAAGCTTGATGCTTAGCTTGAAAAATAACCACCTTTTGACAGAGGAAAGCATTCATGAATCTTTAGTTTGTTCCTGAAACTAGGTGAAATTGGTGTAAAGAAGGGATCTGTTCACAGATTGAGTCTAATTGAAACCAGGTGAAGAATACGAGTCTGAATGTTCACAATTCATTAAACTAATGTTACCTGGAAAATATTTTTAAATGCAGTGTTCTGATTTTTTACATAAAGTGACCTTTAAGCAGTTACCTTTGCTTGAAATCTACATCCTTTTCCCTTAAAATTGCAACTCAGGGGAAATATTTTTAACATAAAAAAGTTATAGTCTCCTTCAGGAAAGTGAACAAGACAAAGGGTGCTTATAAGCTAATGGAGGAGAAAGGACAAACAAGAAAAAAATATTTAAAATACCATGATGAGAATAAACAAAGTTTTGAGGTATAAAGTAATTGGTAGAGGCCACTTTAGATAGAGATCTTATAGATAGGAAGTTCTAACAGATGGGATGATTCTAAATTTAAAGATAAGAAATATCCTCATACTAGGATTTAGCCTGAGAGCTAAGGAACATTTCTAGTTTTCAGAATACTTGAAATGTCTGAATTAGTGGGCACAAGGTCCTTTATAGGACTTCAGAGAGAGCCTGTCAGCTTGGAAAATCAGAGTCTTCAAATTGTAGAATAGATATTTCACTAACAGTTTGCTCTGGCAGCAGAAATATTTTAGCTTACTAAAATGGGAATAATTTTTTTTCTGCATTCCTTCTAATAATGGCTGTTCTCTTAATATAGTAAGTAAAAGTTTAACTTGGTAAATTGGTACTTTAATATAAGGAATTGTGTCCATTGAAGACTTGAGATTACTGGCTACATGGAGGTTGCTGTTTGGTCTTTTCAAGAACTGCATTATGATTGCTACTGATGTGGATTATTTTGTTTTCCTGATTAATTTTATTCTTTTAATCTACTCAGCACACCCATGTCCCATTTTAGTGAGAGAGGTATACCATATTTCTAGAAGTAGAATTACTAGATCAGTATCTAGGACAAATCAATTACATTTTTTTTTTATGTCTGCAAATGACATTAGAGTGAGTAATTTCTAGTACTCTTTAGAAGTTCCAGATAGAGTACAAAGTGACTTTGTAAATTGGGAAAATGTTTCTCATACAAGAGGCAAGAGCATAGTTAGTTACAGCATATTCAATATTAGGGCATAGGACAGGCCAAAAAGGACTAGAAATTACATTCAGCTATAAGCTATGTATATAGCTTATATGTATATATATATTCAGTAGTATATTATTGTTCTTTTTGAAAATCAAATGTGACAAAAGAGATTCTATTTAAATAGAAGTGTGATGTGCTTTTTCCTTAGTTCCATCATAGCATGAAGTAAATCTTAAGATTTGTTAGTGTTTTTTAATGTTATTTAGCTTAGGTGAACAAAAGACTAAGAACAGTTACATAGCAAGAAGTTTTTATCTGCTAATCAAGTTTCAAAAGATTCCTTTTCCCTCAATTAATTTTATTTTTATTTATTTATTTTTAATTTATTATTTATTTAGTTAGTTTTGGCTGCATTGGGTCTTTGTTGCTGCACACGGACTTTCTCTAGTTGCGGCAAGCAGGGGCTACTCTTCGTTGCGGTGCGTGGGCTTTTCCTTGCGGTGGCTTCTCTTGTTGCGGAGCACGAGCTCTAGGTGCACAGGCTTCAGTAGTTGTGATGCGTGGGCTCAGTAGTTGTGGCACACGGGCTTAGTTGCTCCGCGGCATGTGAGACCTTCCCGGACGAGGGATCGAACCCTTGTCCCCTGCATTGGCAGGCAGATTCTTAACCACTGTGCCACCAGGGAAGCCCCTCAATTAATTTTAAAGTAGATCTAAAAGATCTACTTTTTAAAGTCATTCTCTGCAGTTTAATACTCTCTGTAATGGGCAGATTGGGGCAAGAACAAAAGGGCTCTTTCCCAATTCTGATATGCTGTTTTCTTTTTTACTTTCCCCATGTAGATTAGAGTCATATATTATCCTTAAGTTATGGCAGCCTTAAACCTGCAAAGTTAAAAAGGCTTAGTTAAATTCTATATTAAACATGACTTTATTAGCACTGTCTTTATATATATAAAGAAATAACTAATAGGAGAACGTTTCTACTTTGTTCATTGAAATGAAATGAACAAATGAAAACTGAGCAAACGAAATCATTTAAACAGTCTAAATTGCATTGAGAAAGTATGTCTGGACTGGAGCAGAGACTCTGGTATCCTAATTGTGAGCCTGGCTCTGTAGTCAGGATGCCTCTGAATCCCACTTCTTACCCTCTGTGCCATTTTCTCCTCTACTAAACAAGGATACTAACCTTTCTTACTGGACTGTGAGGTGTAATTCGATACAGCATGTTAAGTGCTAGCACAATGCTTGGAATCTAGTAAACTCAAAATATTAACTACTTGTTTTTTTAAAAAATTATTTTGTTACTAGGAAGGATTCTAAAGATTATTTTCTAATCACCAAAATAAGTCTTATAGTCTCTTCACCTAAAATCTTTAAGGATCCTTTACAATTCCAGTTGTTTTCTTCTTGCCTACTTACTGGTTGCTACCTCTCTCATGCCTTGCCAAAGGTGGAACAGTTTGTATATGTCCATCTTTCTTCAAACGGCTTGTTGCTCTTTGGAATTCACTTCACCTGGTTGGTTTGCCAACTCAGCTCATTTTTTAAGATGGCTTCAAAAGATATTATGCCTTTTTTGCATTTTTAGAGTGGGAGTTACATTCTTTTGTGGTATTCTATCTGTATCCTAAGCTGAATTCTCCTTATACCTGAAATGGTTAAACATGGGATTAATGATTATCTTTGGAAGGTTTAAATCTTGATTGGTGGTAAAGAATTGTTGACTTTCATTATTTACATCTAGTTCTGATTCTTTTGATTTTTCATTATTTGGATCTCGAGTTGTCTCCTAGTTTTTATTCACATGTCTGAGTAAAGATACATATTTAAGTTAACACAGTCTGTCTGATGAATCATTAGGTTCTAGTTGGAAATTTTTAATTCAGTTCAGAATCTTAGGTTTTGGCAAATTTTTTGTCCTGTTCTCATGTTCAATTGATACCAATCTTTCCTTCCTGTCTTTTTCTTTTCTCCCCCCACCCCCTTTTTTTTTTTTGAAAATATTTGGGATGTTTCAGATTCCAAAATGATCTTAACATCTAAATTTTTCTACTTAAAGTGTGTTTAGCCTGAAAAACTATCATCAACCATAAAATACTCAGGAAATAGTACTCCAAGTCAGTAACATTAGCAAACTCATTATGAAAGGCATTTGAAGGTAGTATTGTATAATATCTTGATGGTTGGTAAAAGACTGAATTGGATTTTAAATGTTTAAAACTTTCAGAACTGATATTTTGAAAGGTAGACTGTGCCTGCATATTAGGTACTAAAATATGAGTGAATGAATTGGCATTTTGATTTTAAGTAAAATCTACTTTTGCTGCTGTGGCGTTAATGCCTACCTATGATAGCTTTATGCGTCTTTTTCATTTCTAATCACATGGAAGTAAATTTGGATTTGCCTCCAAATGTTAGCATTTTCTTGTTTTATTTTTGCCTTTTAGCCTAAACACATTATTTTGATAAAGAATATCATTAGAAGGACCATTGTTGTGGTGAAAGGAATATTTGCCCTTTTGCCCCCAAGTATATTTTTGCACAGCTGCACATCGTTACAGTTCAGCAAATGATCCATTTTGCTTCACCTCCATTTTGATCATTTGCCTGGAAGAATGGCATTGTCTTTCTATATGACGTTGGTGTGTCAAGTGTACCTTCTCGACATGGCTTTGAGATGTGTTCTATCTCTTCACAAAGGACAGATGAAGGGGTGTTTGGGCTATCTTACAGACCTAGAGAGGTAATCCCACTTTGTCAGGTGAGGCAAGGGGAGCAATTTCTGTGAACATGAATATCATTTTTTGTTTTATAGGAATGAGTGTGGGTCCAAGCTGTGGTAACCACAGAAAATGAGAAACAAAAAGCATTTGGTATCCATCCATTCATGGTTTTTGGGGGGTTGGGGGGGAAGACCATTTAGGGTAAAGCTATGCTTTGAGACCATTGAGGCAACTAGTTATCTTCTGGAAGCACACGGTATGAAGGAGGTGGAGATTAGCAACAAGCATTTATTGAAGACCTACTCTGGAACTCCTATTGGTGTTTTACTTTTATAACTCACTTGATCTTCATAGCAACCTGTGTGAGGTGATCATATATCCTCATTCAACAGCTTAAATTGCATACAATTACACAATTATTAAATAGAGTTGGGATTTGGAACCCAGGTTTACCGTAATATAATAAAACATTTGTGTTTTAAAATAGTTGTAATTCTAGGCACTTGGTAGCACTACAGCAAAATTTTTCATTGTCTAGTTGCTATGTGTTTTACTTTCATATTACTACACTGATTTTTAAATAGTATTAAAATTACAAAAAAATACACTTATCATTTGAAATTAAAAGCACACACATACAAAGAAAGAGCAAGAAAGAAAATAGAAGTCATCTCTTTACTACGTGTGGCACCACTATTAGCATTTTGATGTATATTTGTCCATACATATATGTGCATTTCTTACGTATACTCCCTAAGATCCCACCCATGCCCCTTTTTACATCTCTAAAGTGTCCCTCTGGGTCTCACCTTTCTTCTGGGCTGGAGGAATCTGGTGGGCCCCTTTAATCATTGTCTGTAATGGAGTCTTTCTGTTAGGTGGTCCTTGACTCAGACACAGATCCCTGCTCCCATAGGTCATGGACAGGTTAGCGGGATTAGTGATTTATGAAACCCTTGGCTGCTTTTGTCAAAAAGGTAATGGACAACAATGAGACTGGTGGACATTTTTAAGACTTGGTGAACTATTTAGTACAAACATTTAAGTTGTTTCTGTGTTTTTATGTTTAAATAATGCTGCTGTGAAAAATAATATTGTAGATAAATCTTTGTTCCCATTTTGGTTTTCCTCTAAGTTATTTGAAGAAGTGTTCCTAGGGCCACAAGGATATATACCTTTCTTAAGTTCTTCGATACCTAGTGCCAAATTGCTGTCCACCCTTGGCAATGAGTTTTTTTTTAATACGCCAAACTTGAGTTGTCCCATCTTTATTTTTATTAGATTTTAATTGATAATTATTTTATGAATTTAATATACAAATAACTAAATCAGATGGAGAATACAGCACCCCTAGCTTTGAACAGAAAGTTATTCAGTTGAGACAACTAAAACAGGCTACAGGAATTCATAAGGAACCTTAGAAACTACTATCATTCTGCACCGTAAAAAAAAATTCCTTATTTGAAATTAGGTGCAAGGTCAAAGATATGTACTTTAAAACCATTGTTTTCTCATCTCAGGTTAGGGAAATCCCAACTTTCGATTCTAGTTTCATGGGACCCCCTAGACATAACCTTGTGTCATAACAAGGCAACAGGTGTTCAGTATGAACTGAAATAAATGGTGTGACGAACAGAATAATAGACCCCCAAGGATATCTATGCCTTAATCCCTGTGGAACCAGTAAATATGACTAGATTCTCCAGGTGGGCCCAGTGAGATCAGATGAACCCTTAAAAGCAGAGCTTTCTTCAAGCAAAGGACAGAAGAGAAAGTTAGCAATTTCAAGCATGCGGAGGATTTGACAAGCCATTTCTGGCTCTGAGGTATATAGGGCTGCATGCAAAGACTAGAAAGAAGCCTCTAGAACTAAGGGCAAATGTTAGCTGACAGCCAGCAAGGAAATGAAGATCTCAGTCCTATAACCATAACAAACTGAATTTTACCAACAGCCTGAAGGAACTATGGATTCTTCCCCAGAGTCTCCAGAAAGGAGCGCCTGCTGACACCTTGATTTCAATATTGAGAACTCAGTTGAGCCACACTGTGCCTAGACATCTGACCCACAGAAACTATGAAATATCTAACCTTCAGAAACTATGACACGTGGGTGTTGTTTTAAGACAATAAGTTTACAGTAATTCTTTACAGCAGCAATAGGAGACGAATACACTGAGTATGGGAAGAGATGTAACCAAATCATTTCTTTATACTAGAATAAAGGATCCATAATTCTTTTTATTCACTATAACATTTAAAAGTACTATGAATCAGACTGAAAAACTGACAGCTGTTGTAAAAAAGATAGTAACTAGCAGCAAGTTTATAACTGATCGTTTTATAACTGATTGTGTTGTTTGCTTATACCCATAATCTTATTACGTAACTATTATTGATGTTTCCACATATTTCATTGTTGTTCATTCATTCTTATTTTTATGCATGTTATGTAAAAATCTGTGAATCTAGTTTTTCAGTTAATGTTATGGTAGTTTTCTAATGTTACTGAAAAATCTTAACAAATATCCTTTCTTATACTTCAGTAATAGTCCATCAATGGTTCTGCCATGCCTTAGCATTTCCTTGCTAATCTCTGATATTCATTCTTTTTTTTATGGTTGTCATACTCCTTGCACTGGACAATTTCAGGCAAAATAAATATCGAGGTCCAACCATAAAGGGATTTTCATATGATAATTATATTAAATTCACATTGAGTGATTTTTTTCTTAAAAAAGCTGTATCTTAAAGATGGTGACAGTTTTCATCAGCACATTCTACATCGAGCTGTCACCTAACCACTTAATCAATTTTTTTTTTTTTGCCTTACGCGGGCCTCTCACTGTTGTGGCCTCTCCCGTTGCGGAGCACAGTCTCTGGACGCACAGGCTCAGCGGCCCTGGCTCACGGGCCCAGCCGCTCCGCGGCATGTGAGATCTTCCCGGACCGGGGCACAAACCCGTGTCCCCTGCATCGGCAGGCAGACTCTCATCCACTGCGCCACCAGGGAAGACCTGTTCTTGACTTAAAAATAAGATTTAACTCACTGTTATTGTGATGGTACAAGTTGTTTCTTTGAAAATGAAATTTTGAGTAGTAGTAATGAGCAGAGTTCTAAGCCTTTTGAGTTGTAATAAGTATTTGTAAAATTAGTTTTGGGGACAATAACAAGAGTTTTACATTGACTTTGAAGTCAGCAGTAATAAAAAGTAATGTATATACTAAAGCATACAGTAATGTTTTTTTATTCATTGGCTTATTCATTCAAGAGATATTTTTTGAATAGCGACTGTATGCCACACACTATTAGAGACATGGGGTACAGTACTGAATAAAATAGTCAAGTCCCTGTTCTCATGGAGTCTGTGTGTGTGTGTGTGTGTGTGTGTGTGTGTGTGTGTGTGTGTGTGTGTGTGTTGGGGGGTGTTTTCAGGGAGACAGTAAAGAATATACATTATACCAGGTGGATAAGTGCTTTGAAGAAAAATATAGCAGGATATGGTGATAGAGTGACAAATGGGGTTCAATTTTAGATATTTCAGAATGAAAATATTGGTTGAAATCCACAGGAATGGAAAGAAACTGCTTCAATAATATAAAGAAATAATGAACTAGTTTATTAAATGTGATTTTTATTTGTGATATTCCATATAGAAGTATTTCTTATGTAAATTTAAATTTAGACTGTTAAAGTACCCAAATTTCTTTATTCTTTTAATAACTAGTTTTGGTTGGAGATGTTTGTTAATTTGACATATTTTATTGATTCTACCTTATTTTATTTTGGTGGGTTGCATCATAATCTTGATTCTCTGTGTTAAGATGTTGATTCATTCCTTGGTATACTGTAGTTAATCCATAGACAAAGAAAAATGCCTGACATTGATTTTATAGAGGTGAAAAGCACATATATTTTCTTCAGTTAGTGAAGGTAAATTATTTTATAAGAGTAGAGAGACATCAAATAAACCATTTTCTGCTATCTGTATCATCAACATTTATAATTAAAAATATTTTCGAATGTATGACTTTATTCAGTAATCATTGATAAATTTTTCTGCCTATAAAATAGGTGAAGTAACTTTAAAGAGAATAAGATTTGTATAGGTAGATGGAAAGTGATGAGTGTATTGAGTATATTTTGTGGAGCAGTAAATGAATAAGAATTTCAGGTCCCAAAAGTTAGACAAGATTAGGACGAAAGAAAGAAAAATACTGTTTCAAACAAAGGAAACGTTACTTTCAAATGGTCTCTCTCTTTTTGGCTCTCCCTCCCTCTCTTTTAGAAAATCTCAAGTAATGACTATCGATACTTAGAAAACTTTATTTTACAAAATATCTAATTTCCTAGAATCCAGTCACTAGTGTGTTTAATAGAAAATATTCTGTTAGGACTTATAATATTAAGGAACAAACTTCAAGTGATGCTGTATTGAAACTGTTCATATCTAGTATTCTTACTTTGTAATATTTTTGGAACTAGTGTGGTTTTTGCTAAAATAGTTTTTTTCCTGAAGATACAATTTATGTGAAATTTTCGACATATGATTTAAAAAATAAGACATAAGTACTTGAGAGTAGGAATTATCCTTTTCATCTTACTTATAGTCCAATGTAAAGCCTGACAGTTTTCTAAAGAATCTATTAGTACATTAATAAAAAAAACAAGAGATTTCCAAGTGGTCATTTCCTATGTTAACACTTTTTTTTTTTTTCTCAGTTTACAGATATGATCCAGGCCTGTATGTGAATTACTTCGGTTAATCAGAGCAAACATTGAATAATGAGTGGTGCAGCTTTGGGACTCGAGATTGTTTTTGTCTTTTTTCTGGCATTATTCCTACTTCATCGATATGGAGACTTTAAGAAACAACATAGACTTGTAATTGTTGGAACACTGCTAGCTTGGTATCTCTGCTTTCTAATTGTCTTCATACTGCCTCTGGATGTTAGTACGGTAAGAGGTGAAACTGATTTTCACAATTTAAAAGGCAGTTGTAGTCATACAGCATGTTTGAGATATGTTTTTAAGACAACCAAGTCATGTAAAAGTTAACTTATATTTTAAACTTAAGTGTTACTCTATGAATTTGATTACTAAAAAGCATAGCCAGGAAGGTACTTTTGGGTAGGTAGGTTGATACACTTCAGTATCCCTTAAGTACTTGGTAACTTTTTGGTTTTCATTTTTAAACCATACCTTCATTGCTTTAGACAATATACAACCGATGCAAACATGCTGCTGCAAACTCGAGCCCTACTGAGAGTAGCAACATTACAGGACTGTATGCAGCTGCTACCCCGGTTCCAAGGTACTTTCTTCTTCTTTTTTTTTTTTAATATTGTAGGGGGCAATTTGTTTAAAACTTGTCCGTTTTTACCATCTGGGTTTTATATTTATAAAAGTTTATCCTCGTTCTCTATTCACCTCTCTTCTTCATCCTTTGCTAATAGACTTTTAATTACCTTGTATCTTATTTAAGTTTAAATCTTTTTTTTTTTTTTTTTTTTTTTTTTTTTTTTTTTTTTTTTTTTTTTTTTTTTTTTTTTTTTTTTTTTTTTTTTTTTTTTGCTGTACGTGGGCCTCTCACTGTTGTGGCCTCTCCCGTTGCGGACCACAGGCTCTGGATGCACAGGCTCAGCGGCCATGGCTCACGGGCCCAGCCGCTCTGCGGCATGTGGGATCTTCCCAGACCTGGGCACGAACCCGTGTCCCCTGCATTGGCAGGCGGACTCTCAACTGCTGCGCCACCCGGGAAGCCCCTTAAGTTTAAATCTTAAATAAATTTTAGATATTTATTGGTAAACAAGGCCTTTCAGTAGATGCTAATGAGAAGCTTGGAGAAGACCTGATATTTTTTAGTCCCTTACTAAGAAAGTAACTTCCAAAAGCTGTTTTTCCTCTCAGCCTCTCCCCGATCAAAAAAAATGGGACATGCATTTTCTCATTTGCCTTAATTTACAAGGTTGTAATAAAGGACGAGGAGGTTATTCTGTATGTAGGATATTCCTTTCATATTGCACATCCTTTGATATCATTATAGTTATAGACTGAGAATAAAGTTCAGATTATCAAAAGGTTATATTGAATTCATATCAAACTTCCAAGTAAAAAACTAACAGATATTGGTTATAGCTTTTACCAATGCTTTAAGTGGTGTTTGCATGCTTCTTTATGCAGCTTTTATTTTATTTTTTTTAAATCAAAGCTGGATAACGGTAAATTTTAAATGTAGTTGTTATTCCCTTTTGAAGAACCACTGTGGATTCTTGGAAGCCCTTGGACTAAAGGATAGCCTTACAGTCTAGGCAGGCTATTACTGGAAGAATCTATGGGCAGATACACATATATTCAGAAACTTCAAACAGAATTATGTATAGATGCTGGCATCTATCTCCATAGTCATATGCTATATGACTGATGAGTTAGGGTTCCAGTTTCTAGGAATTAATCACCTAACGTCTTTCTCTCCTTCCTGCCATAACCAGCCCCACAAATGGGGTGAGTGTGTATCTTAAAGGTAATCATCAACCCTAAAGGTAACCAAATCAGAGATTGGATTTCATGATGCATTTGCTTTTAAAGACTGTCACTTTATTAGTCTGTTAGAACATTCTGCCCTCTTTTTACTCAATGACTAAAAAAAATACTGAAAGTTGAAAATTTAAATGCATTCCTCTTTAAAACAGTTTTATTCCCTTTTTGTATGTTTTTTCAACAGTCAGCTTTGAATTTTAAGTTTTCTATGAAATTTTACAAATTAGAATCAATAATTTAAAATCTGAATGTAAGTGAACTTTGCCACACAAATTAATTGTGCAATTCATGTAAGTAATCATTTATGATTAATTGGCTTTAAATTGTTATTAAATAGCCAACATCTGTGTTTCAAGCCATGGAGTTATATTCCTGATGGAATCATGCCAATTTTCTGGAGGGTAGTATATTGGACATCACAATTTTTAACATGGTAAGTGGTAGTGAAGGATAAAATTTTTGATATTTTGGCTAAATTTTTAAAAGTGATTATTTTTCCAGTGAACTTTCATATTTTAGAATTTATTCAAGTGTCACCTTTTTTTCCCTTAAATCTGTATCCTGTCTCTTTCTGCTCATTCGGGTCTCTCACATCTTAAAAGGAATGAAAAGAAAAAAAGAAGAAATAGAGAACAGAAACAAAAAATTCTCCTCATCACCATTCCCTTTTAGTAATTGCCTTCTCTCTGGACCTTCTTCAATTCAGTTTTCTTCAAGTCCCGTTGTTAGGTGAAAATGCTCTCTTGCTAAGGTCATCATTATCCCCCGGTTTTCTTTCTATGTGCTTCGCCCAACCTTCTGAATTTCCTTTATGGGCTCCATTTCTGTGGCGCATTTCCTAAAGGTTGGTGTTCCCTAGGGTCCCATGTTTGGTCGTCATGTTATCTGACTCTCCCTGAATAACTTTAATTATAGCCATGGTTTCATTAACCTGTGATGCATTCCAGATCTTTCTTTCTACCTGATATAGCTTTGTCTTTCTGCTGTGCTCCAGACTCATACTTTTTCCACTGCCTACTGAGCATTTTAGATATTATGCGGGTAACTAAGCTCTAAAACTGGAGGTGGTGAACATTGCAAGAGAAAAATCACATAGCAGAGTGTAGTGCCCCTATAGCATGTTCACTGAACTTGACTAGGCCCTCAACATTGCCAGAGTTTCATCTTCTGTTTCTCTCGTCTGCTTGCTCTTCATTCTCCACAACAAATCTTTCCAATCACTACAAACCTCAGTGATTTGTGACTCTCTCTCACATCCTAGAAACAATCGCCTTTTCTCATTGCAGATGACTTTACTTCCTGCCTCCCAGTGAAAAAAGAAGTCATCAGATGGCAGCTCTTTTCAGCTTCTCACCAACAAACCTACATACCTACCCATGCTTTCTTTCTTTCCCTCCAAGAATGGAAGAGTCCCTCTTCCTGAAGTATGGACCCATCCCCTTCAGCTCTCGTTACTTATACTTCTAGCTTCCAGTTTCAACCAAGCATGTACAATTCTCTCATCTTTAAAAACAAAACAAAACTGTCTCAAATCAGAACCCTTTCCAGTTTTCTATCTTCCCCCTCAATGATCTACTGATCACAGCTGCATTTTTTAAGAGAGACTTTTTTTGAGTATGAGTTAGTACAGTAAATTGCAGATTGTATTTAGTTTGACTTTTTTCAAAGTGAATACACCCATGTAATCAGCACTCAGATCATGATATAGAACATTAACAATATCCCCCGAAGGTTCCCTCATACTTCTCTCCCAGTCATTATGCTCCCCAAAGTTAACCATGATTGTGACTTTGATCACCGTAGATTAGTTTTGCCTGCTTTTCAACTTTATAAATATGGAGTTATATAGTATGTACTTTTTTGCCTCTCTCTTTTTGAGTACATATTTGGAAGATTCTTTTATGTTGTATGTCTCAGTATTCTTTTCTTTTTCATTTCTGTAAAACATTTCATTTTGTGAGTATACCATAGTTTATCCTACCTGGCCAAACTTCTTGAATTGTCTGCATCAGTGTCTCCATTTGCTCACTGCTTACCCTTTCCGCAACCCATTGAACCGTATTTTCTACCCTCCCTTCTCCACTCACACATACAGGCTCTTAATTTACTTGACCTCTTGGCAGCATTTGATTCTATTGTTTTCTCTCTCCCTTTCAAATACTTTCTTCTGGTTTCTGCTCCATATACTCCTTAGTTTTCTTCTGTAACTCTTGACTGCTCTCTCAGTTTCCTTTGCTGGTCTCTCCTTCTGTTTGTCGGCGTTTCCTTTAAAAGTTGATATTTCTCAGGGGTCCGTCTCATATCTTTCCTTATCATTCATTATAAATCAGTTTCTGTTTTTTTTAATTTATTTATTTTAAATTTATTTTATTTTGGCTGCGTTGGGTCTTCATTGCTGCGCACGGGCTTTCTCTAGCTGCAGCGAGTGGGGCTACTCTTCTTTGCGGTGCGCGAGCTTCTCATTGCGGTGGCTTCTCTTGCTGTGGAGCACAGGCTCTAGGCACGCGGGCTTCAGTAGTTGTGGCTCGTGGGCCCTAGAGTGCAGGCTCAGTAGTTTTGGCGCATGGGCTTAGTTGCTCTGTGCATGTGGGATCTTTCCAGACCAGGGCTTGAACCTGTGTCCCCTGCATTGGTGGGCAGATTCTTAACCACTGCACCACCCCTTACCCTCTCTAAATAGTTCCAATTTTGTTCCATTTAAGTACATTCTCCATGTTGAAGTTTTATCAGTCCTTAGAAAACTAAAATTTGATCATGTCTCCTTTCCGTTAAAGAAAATGATTCCTCGTTATTCTTTGGGTGCAATCTAAATTATTCATAAAAGCATTAAAGGCCTTTTTTTAGATTCATTTTAAGTCACCCATACTGTTGTACTCTCTCTTGGTCATCATGGCCTCCTTTTGCTCCCAGGAATGTGCTTTGCTTTCCCCAAAATTTAATATTAGGAAAATATTCAGCTATCTATTATAGTTTGGTTCAGTATTAATTATTACTCAAAATCATATTTATTCATGAAAAGAACCACACATTAAAATTGAGATTCACATATTTTCAGTATTTTGAGATTATACAGACATGTCAAGTGTTTTTTAATCATATTTTTTCTTATCATCCAGGATTCTGTTACCTTTTATGCAGTCATATGCAAGATCAGGAGGGTTTTCCATTACTGGAAAGATCAAAACTGCACTGATTGAGAATGCAATCTATTATGGCACCTACTTGCTGATTTTTGGAGCGTTTTTAATTTATGTAGCTGTAAACCCACACTTGCACTTAGAATGGTAAGAAAAACCATGTTCTTAACATTGTTTCTGTATACATTTGCATTTTTGAAAATTCATTTTTATCTCATATGCAGGTAAACAAACATTTCCTTGAGAAACCTACCATTATATGTTTTATAGATTCCCCCAGAAGAATATCATAATAATGTATATTACTAAGAAGGAAAATATGGAATAACATCTTTGAATATACATATTGGACAAGAGACTGATGCTTTGTCTAAGAGCTATATGTTAAAAGTATTAACTCCCATGATTTTTTGATAGACTTTCAAATTTTGTGTATGACTAAATACCTAGATTTCTTTCTCATTGGAACTTGTGAATACTTTTATTTTGTTCTGACTATAATTTGAGGGCATATTTCTCTTTAACTATGGATTTATCATTGCAATAAAATTGAAATCTGTATTATACTTGTGGTCTGTTGTAATATACGTGAAGAGTCAGAGCTGAGAAGTTCAGGAATGGAGGGGCAATGATAATCCTTACTGTTGCATTCTTGAGGTTTGTGTGCATCTGCCTTAAAACAAGTTAAAATTTTTTCAGGCTTAAAATTTTTTTCAGGCTTCTCTTGGTTAATATTAAATAAGAAAGCACCTAATGAAAAATATTTTTTCTTCAGGATAACTCTTGCCATGAATTTTCCTAGATTCTAATTTTAACTATAATAGAAGCCGTGTTTCCTGTGTTAAAGTCTATTTCTGCAGTCACACTCTAACTGTTCATTAAAACACGTTATCTGCTGTTACTAAAAGAGTAGCTGAGGATTTGAAGGTCGAATTTTTTCCTATAAAATTGGAGCCATCTTGTAGGGCAGTTGTTTTCTGAAAAAACATTTAACACTAGTTCCATTTAACATTTTTGTTGCAAAAATTTATCTATCACAGCTATCTGCTTATGTTTTCTTCCTTAGGAACCAGCTTCAGACAATTGGGATAGCTGCTGCAAATACATGGGGTCTTTTTCTTCTGGTGTTGTTGTTGGGGTATGGCTTGGTAGAAATCCCTCGCTCATACTGGAATGGAGCAAAAAGAGGTTATCTACTTATGAAAACTTATTTTAAGGCAGCCAAATTGATGACGGAGAAAGCAGATGCAGAAGAGACTTTAGAAGATGTCATGGAGGTAAGTAACTTTAAAGCGTAGAGTCAACAGTCATCAAGTTGTGTGTATCTCTTTTTGGATATACTGTTGGTTTTGTTGTTGTTGGCACACTGATGGGCTTTAGAATAAAAATTTGGTGATGTACAGTTAAGGATGTCTCATCCATTCGAATGACTTCTTATTGGCAGTTCAGCTTCATGAGATATCATCTCCATCTTCTAACCAACAGAGATGCAGGGAGAATATATTCAACAGTGCAGTGTTAGGCTTGTCGTCTTGGGGCAACTTTTATTTTAATTTTATTTATTTTTTTGGCCACGCCAGGTCTTAGTTGCAGCACGCGGGATCTTCGTCGAGGCATGAAGGATCTTTCATTGTGCTGCGCGGACTCTTCGTTGTGGTGCACGGGCTTCTCTAGTTGTGATGTGCGGGTTTGCTCTCTCTTGTTGTGGTGTGCAGGCTCCAGGGCACGTGGGCTCTGTAGTTGTGGCACGTGGACTCTGATTTGCGGCACGGGGGCTCTAGTTGAGGCACACGAGCTCAGTAGTTGTGGTGTGCGGCTTAGTTGCCCCGCAGCAGGTGGGATCTTAGTTCCCTGACTAGGGATCAAACCCATGTCCCCTGCATTGCAAGGCGGATTCTTTAGTACTGGACCACCAGGTAAGTCCCCTGGGTTAACTTTTAATAGTTCAAAGTTAAGACTCAAAAGTTTCCCAGATTAGATGATAAGTTCTGTGGTTACCGTGACATGGTAGAAGTGAAAATAGAAATTAAAGGACGCATCTTCCTGAAAGTTTGACCCAAAGTAATCCCACCAAGTCTGGAAACCTCTTTAGAGACCAATATACATGGGAATTTGTGTCCTTAAGTTTTGTTTCCTGGCTGTAATCTTAATAAGGCACTTCATTTTACTCACTTGTAAAATTCATGACTTGAACCAACTTCACAAAGTTGTTGAAAGTATAAATTTCAATAATATACACAAAAAATACAACAACTTACAAAATTTTGCTGTTTAATAATTTCGTTGTTAATTTTAAAAAAGGTTGTAGTCACCTCAAATTTTGCTCTTCTGGGCAAATATGCTATTCCAGTAATGTTATTCTTCAGCTTAAAACCTTATATTGAAGGCTTTCGTTCACTTTAGAGTAAAGCAAAATGCTGTAATGTGGCCTACCAAAACATGATTTGGCCCACGTCTAGCTCTCTTATCTCTCTGTCTTCCCCATGCTGGTCAACTTTGGTTCCTCAAACTTAATAATGGTGATGATAATAGCAAACAAGTATGTAGGCAAACAAGTATATAGAGTCACATATTTGCCTATGACTTTCTAAGCACTTTATATATATTAATACATTTAATTCTCAAAACAGCCTTATAAGGGAGATTTTTTTTTACCCTTGTTTTATAAATGAAAATGAGACACAGAGAGGGTGAGTTTGCCATGTTCACATGGCTACTGAGTGATAGAGCCACTGTGTGACTCTAGTTCATGCTTTAACAGGGATTGGCAAGCTTTCTGTAAAGGGCCAGATAGTAAATATTTTAGGCTTTCTGTGCCATATGGTCTCTGTTGCAACTACTCCATCACTGTAGCATGAAAGCAGCCATAGACAGTATATCAATGAATGAGGAATGGATGTGTTCAAACAAGAACAGATGGTGGGCCTGATTGGATCTGGTTTGCCGACCCCTGCTCTTAACCGTTACATTCGTTGGCACTCTATTCTGTCTTTGGGTATGCTATTCCCAAACTCTTGGAATGCTCATTTCTCCAGTCTCTTTAGCTAATTCCTACTTCATTTTCAGGTCTCAACACAAGTGAGAATTCTTCAGCAGAGGCTTCTGTGTTAGTTTCTTGGGACTGCCATAACAAAGTACCATAAACTATGTGGTTTAAACAACAGAAATCTATTGTTTCAGAGCTCTGGGGGCTGAAAATCCAAGATCAAGGTGTCAGCAGGCTTGGTTCCTTTAGCGGGCTGTAGGGAAA